TTTACCATAGCTTGACCTTGTGTGTGAATCCGGAGATCGGTCTCAAATCCAAACGAGTCAATCACTGGGATCAAACCACGGACGGAGTAAAGAGGCGTCCCCGCAATGGGGCCGTCTGACAGAACGTGACCTCTCCGGCGGGACAAGACTGTATACACCGAAGCCACGGCGTCTGCAGGCCCTGTCATTGTGCAAGAATAAATCGGCTCCATGAGACGTGGAGATGCCATGAGGAAGGAGGAGTAAACAGCTCGGCGGGCTGTGGGGATAATCTGGCCTCCACCGCGGTAGATAGCCTGATCGGCCAGGGAGACGTCTGTGAGCCGGAACTTTGTGTTTCGAATGGCTAAACTTCAATTAGTGTCACATTCATCATTTTCGAGACTGCAAGACTATTGGCGAATGAGAGGAGAGAAGTCAAAACTTACGTTCTTCACAAAGAGGGCCTTCCCGTGTACCCCAGCTGAAGCCTTGGGTGATAGAGTCCCTGACAGTACCGAGAAGTTTCTTATCCACTTGAGAGGGTAAAGTGTCATCTTGCAAAATATTGGGGCCCATTTCATCCGGTCCAAACGCCCAGATGCTTCGGGCTGCAAGCTTATCCCAATCATAATTGTCTTCGAAGTATCGAGCAACCTTTCGAATGGGGTCCTTGATACTGACTTTACCACTTTCGATATCCTCGGCAATCCCATCATCTAGGGGTTCCGCAATCATCGTGATCTTATTCTTCTTATTCGGAGTGATTGAGTAACACATGATGGCCGAAGTTTCCACCACAGTCTCACAGAAGCGTGTAACGGGGTCGGATACCTTGATCTCCATCTCTGAATATAGTTTCCGGAGATCATGGAGCACACAGTCCATGTAAAGCTCGCCGGTTCCTAGAACCACATGCTCTCCAGACTCCTCAACCTTAGTTGAGATGAGGGGATAGCTCTTGTTGATTTTCCGCAATCCATCCAGCATCTTGGGCAGTTCTGATGGATTGACCGGCTCAACAGCGACCTTGAACACTGATTCGGTCATGTGTCGAATTGGGCGGAAGATGTACGCCTCCTCGTCATCTTCGAGCTTCAGGGGCACCAGTGTCGCAGTCTTGACAATGGAGTTGTCGACGCCACCCAAAAGAACCCAGTTTCCGGCGGGGACACCGTTGGTCGGGATGTTGTAACGTGTTTCTGCAATCCACGTGTCGGAGATGGTTGCTACCACCATGTCTTCCTCGTCTTCTGGCGTGTATCCCTCACCGAGGACACGGACCTGTTGACCAGGCCGTGCTGTGCCACTCATAATCCTTCCAAACGAGTAAAAGCTTCCAGCATCGGAACTGCTGAAAAGTTTGGTGACATGGATAACCAACGGTCCGTCTTGATTACAAGCGAACATTGATGCCACAACCTTGGTATCCACAGGCCCAGTGTAGTATCGTTCCAATATTCTATGGGCACCTTCCACCGGGGAAGGAACGTGTTGAACAACCATATCCACAAAGCCGGTGGCGGGTCCAAAGAAATTCTCACAGACCAGACTGAGCAGCTCCTTGGCATCGGTCTTGAGCTGAGATGGCTTCAAATGGACACCGACGCTAGCCAGAGTCTGTTTCAAATCCTCGGGGCTCTCGCTTATCGTGTGAGAGTAGAGCTTGTAGATCGGCTCCAAGACAAACTTGACGAATGAGCGTTTTGCATTCTCCTCCACTCCTTTACGAGTGAACTTTCGGCTCTTCGGATTGTAGAAGATGTCACCCCAAAGTCGCAAAGCAAATTCTGTCGAGTCCAAGCTCGGGTAAGTGTCTGCGTACATCCGGGCAAATGACTGCAATGTAAAGCACCAGTTCATCGAGCTTGATGCGAATGCAACATTGCCCTTCTCGGGGCTCAGTCGTCGTCGCTCGCCTTGCCCTGGCAGAACGTTCTCGATAACCGTATTCACTTCTTCGATCACATGCTTCAATTTGAAATAGGCATCATTAGGAGGAAGCTTGAGCTCAAGGATGAGTCGATCCATCTTGTTAACGACCAGAGTCAAAGGGAGATCCTCCAATACTGCGTGCTTGATAATTTGCTCGGTGTTGGCCTGAACACCTTCAACAACATCCACAACCAGTACTACACCATCCGCTAGGCGGATAGAGGCAGCCACCTCATCGACAAAATTCACATGCCCGGGGGTATCAAGGAGGTTGAACAGGTGAGATTTTCCTTTGGTGCCTGGAAGAACGAGACTCATCGGTGCCGACTTGATTGAGACACCACGCTCTCTCTCTAGAAAATGGACATCGGTGTATCGCAGTTGTTCTTCTCTCTTCCGTCCTGTGCGCTTCTCCAGCCGCTCTGTTAAGTCGTGCGTCTGTTTGACCAGCATATCCATGAAAGCAGTTTTTCCATGATGCAGATGACCAACAATTGCAACATTCCTTGTCTGTGCTGGGAAGTTCAAGAGATCGGACATGAACTCTCGAGAGAAGTGTACGGGTGGGAGTTCGGTCTCTGTGATTGCAAATTTCTTCTGCTGAACGGGGGCAATGATGGGCTCTGATAATGGCTGCGCATCTTCCTCCTGGACCATAGTTTCAACATCCTCGCCGTAGACTTGTTGTGCGCTGGGGTAGTATTGCTTGTCTTCGTGCAATATGACCGCATTCGAAGGACCCTCTGAAGACGATGCGGAATTAGCGAAATTGCAGAATGTAGATAAGGCATGTCAACATACCGTCAACTTCCATCAACTGTAGATCATTGACTTCCTCTTCTTCTTCATCATCAAAAGCCTCATCAAACTTGAAGGCTTGTGGCTGTACATCTTCATGATGCTCCTCGTCGGATTCGGCATCACCGATGTAGTTACCAAACCTAAACACAATTAGCACATTTGAGGGATCTAGAGATGAAAGCAACATACTCATCATAAAGGTCATCCATAATGAATGGAGGACGTGAAACGTGTGGGTAACAAAAAAGAGGGACCGTAGCTCCAGACGCGTGATGCCGGAGAAGTTGAGGATCTCAACTTTCACTTGGTCCGTGCGTCCATTCGGAGTACTCGTGCCTACACCGTACAGCTCCTCACTCCCCACCGTCCAATTTACTCTTATGGATGCCCCTCCCTCTTTGATCTCTCTCCTTTCTTTACTTCTGTATATTCTCCCTTTTCTTCTCTACCTCTATAACTCTTTCCTTGTCCACCAAAATGTCTTCTCTTCCTCCCGTCTACATTGTTTCTACTGCCCGTACTCCCGTGGGCTCTTTCCTGGGGTGAGATTTCTTTGGATTCTTCTTTTTTCTACCCCTGGAGCCTGATCTGACATTGTTTACTGTAGTTCTCTCTCCAGCTTGACTGCCCCCCAACTTGGTGCACATGCTATCAAGGGTACGACATGTCATTCAAACTATACCACCCATTCCAATGCTAACAGTAATTTACAGCGGCTGTTGAGCGAGCTGAGGGCATCAATGCCTCTGATGTCGAGGAGGTTTTCTTCGGTAACGTCTTGACTGCTGGGTACGTTGTCTTTGCTACGTCTTATATCACAATTGAGACTGACCTGTTTCTGTATAGTGTTGGACAGAACCCCGCCAGACAGTGCGCCATTGGAGCTGGCCTGAGCGAGTCTACCGTTTGCACCACTGTCAACAAGGTCTGCGCTTCTGGTCTAAAGGCCATCATTCTCGGTGCCCAGACCATCATGACCGGAAACGCCGATATTGTTGTCGCTGGTGGAACCGAGTCCATGTCGAACACCCCTCACTACCTGCAAACCTCTCGCAGCGGCACCAAGTTCGGCAGCCAGACCCTGGTTGACGGTATCCAGAAGGATGGTTTGATGGATGCCTACGGCAAGCAGGATCTTATGGGTGTTGCTGCCGAGGAGTGCGCCGAGGACCATGGCTTCAACCGTGCCCAGCAGGATGACTATGCTATTCGCAGCTACGAGAAGGCCCAGGCTGCCCAGAAGGCCGGTGCTTTCGACTACGAGATTGCCCCTATTGAGATCCCCGGCTTCCGCGGAAAGCCCGGTGTGACTATTTCCCAGGATGATGAGCCCAAGAACGTGAGTGCCTCTGCTGTCTCCGTTGGATTCTTGTGACTTAGAACTAACCTTTCCTCTTGGCTTGTAGCTCAACCCCGAGAAGCTCCGCGCCATGAAGCCTGCCTTCATCCCCGGAACTGGAACCGTGACTGCCCCCAACTCTTCGCCCCTGAACGACGGTTCCGCCGCCGTTGTTCTGGTCTCAGAGGCCAAAGTGAAGGAGCTCGGCCTCAAGCCTATTGCTAAGATTCTGGGTTGGGGTGACGCTGAGCAAAAGCCCAGCAAGTTCACCACTGCTCCTGCTCTGGCTATTCCCAAGGCTCTCAAGCACGCCGGTGTGACCCAGGACTCCATTGATGCCTTCGAGATCAACGAAGCCTTCAGTGTTGTGGCTCTTGCCAACCTGAAGCTCCTCAATCTCTCCGAGGACAAGGTCAACATCCACGGTGGTGCGGTCGCCATTGGACACCCTCTCGGTGCCAGTGGTGCCCGTATTGTCTCCACATTGCTCGGCGTCTTGAACGCCAAGGGCGGCAAGCTTGGCTGCGTCGGCATCTGTAACGGTGGCGGCGGTGCCAGCGCCCTGGTGCTTGAATCCATTTAAATAGGAAACTCTGCTAACGAAAAACGGAGATGTGAAACGACCTTTGTTCTTTGCATGTGAAATACCAAGTTCATTTTTGACGGGGAAGGTACTCGGTTCTCTGCAGACATACCCCATCCTATAGCGACGAACATTCGCAGTATCAATACCATTTATTGGTATCTAAAATAATTAATGAGATATCCTTGTGTCATATATTGTTTTCCACTTGCTTCGTGTCCTTAGATGAAGAGTCGGGCCTGAAGACCGATGTTACAAAATTTCAACCTTACCTCACTCAGTACTTTGATGCGTAGGAATGCACAAAGCAGCCACTCTACCCATATGGGAAGATGAATCTCGATAGCACTGGAGACCACTGCCATGATACCTAAAAGCGAAAGGGACAATGAGCACATTGAGAAAGCCGGCCCTCTACAATCGTTTCTGGGGAGGATATGAGCGAATGATACCGGGGATGCTATAAGAGATGCTTTTCTTTTCGATGTAGACTCAAAAGGGTCTGGCTCATATACAGATACAACCTCCTAGGCCCCGAACTCATAGCGGTTAGGTCTCGAGCAAGACCTTTGATAACTGCATTCAACGCACCGATTCCACCGGAAGCTCCCAAATCGCAAGTAGTCTCCCAGCGACAAGACATACTTGGAGAACTCTTTGATTGTATTGGGTAATGAGTATACATTGAGCCTCCGCTATTCGTGAGCTACGGTTACAATATCGGTATAGACACCGGATTCTACGCTAATTTCTAGTGAGTCAAACTTATGTAAAAAAAAAGAATCTGATCTAATCAAAGTCCCCTCAAGTCCCACCGTCTTTGGACTGTGTGGGCTACATAGTTTCCATTGGGAACGACGTTATGATTGGTCCTACTGTCAACATCATCCCAGAAGAACACGAGACCGGGATTGAAGCGGGAAAGGCACGTAGAGGACTGGATTTTACGGGATCTATTATCATTGGCGATGATTGCTAGATTGGAGCTAAAGTGACGATCCTGGCTGAAGTCACTATACTTCCTTCTGTGCTGGCTCCGTCGTGAAACGAGATATACCAGCATCGAGTGTTGCAGCGGGTACATAGTTCCGCTCGAGTTATCAGATCGGAAGAGGAATCAAGGTTTGTGTCACGAGAATCTTCCGGGTTATAGTATCTATCCACACATAATTCCGTAAACGAATGAGAAGTATTATTAAAACATATTAGGAAAAAAAAGAGATCGCTTGCTTCGTTATTCTATCAGACATTATAACCGAGAAATCTCAAACAATAATTAATGTTTTTAAGCAAAGGCTCCGACAAATGCCATGAGGAGAGCACCGCAGGCAACAGATATACAAGCCTCAACACGTCGTCTGCCCTTAAGGGTGTCATAACTCGACTCACTCAAGAAGTCCTCAGCGAGGAGTTCCACTAGGCCTGCAAAGAGCAAAAGACCGCTGCTGATGGCATTGGTGATGCCAACCATCAGCAGACCGGTTGTGCTAGCTGGATCGTAGAGATTGTGTAGAACCAAACCGATAGCTTGGCCAAGGGGCGTTGTCGTTCCGTACGCCAGTGACATAAGCCATGGTTTCATGGAATCTGGAGCGAAGAGATCCGGTATCAAAGACGCAATCCGAGACCCCAGGGCGAAACCTTCGAAGGTCTGATGAAAACTGATTGCAATCAACAGGACGACAAATGACGTGCCAGTTGCAACACTGAGCGCCATGCCGATGAAGATACTGTGGAACAAAATGCCAGCTTCCAAGAGGAGGCATTGCAGAAGCTGACGTTGCGGATTCAGGATTGGCCCATCCGTGTCGGTTGGCTGCCTGTGGCTTTCGCTTAAACGGGGTCGATGCCGGTGGACAGACTGTGACTGCGCAGAATGAGCTGCCTGTCCGCTGATAAGTGCATCATCATCCATATAATCATCCAGCCCATCAAGGTCATCCACATCATCCTCCTTATCCGGCGATGGGTCTGTCAGGTGGAGGCGGTCCGCTTCATGATCTGAGCCGGAAACTCTCGTCGCCCGCAACTTGGAGCTGTCCATGCTATCTAGATTGATATTGTCTGAAGCCTGCCGGGCCTCTAGCCTCGAATAATCGACATCTGGATCTCCCGCATCCCTTATCGAGTTACGCCTAGCCTCGCCAATGAGATTATCATATTCGCTTCCATGCACGTGCTTTGCGCCTTTCATCGCAAAGAACATTTCCACGATAACGACTGCGAATACCGCTATCATTGCAACAAAACCTGCCATAGCACGATATGTTTGACTCCAAAATCGAGGGAGACATGGATCGGTCAGAGAGACGAATGCTGTGGGGAGTAAATGGACGAATGCCGTCGCAATCAATACACCCGTTCCAAAATGTCTGGATATAAAGAGGAACCGACGGGGAATCGGGAGACGAGGGAAGCGGCGCGCCAGAACCGGAAAAGAACAAGCTATCGCAGTTTCAGCATTAGCAATGGTCAATTTGAGAGATCCGAGAGAAGCCAGTGCATACCGAATGTACTCAACCCAAGGATGAGGAACAATGCCATGACATGTAATGGGGTATTATATGCCCCCCGCTCTTTGGATCCGCAGGCCGGCGTATCCTTGGAAGCTCCATCTCGCCGAAGAAGTTCTTCCCGCAAGAGAGCATCGGGGATTTCTGCAATTGCAGAGAGGGCACGCTTCAAGTCTGCTCGGAACATGGTTAGAGACTGATTACAATCGATTTGTACAGATTGCTCACCTGACGGTAAATCCCGTGTAGCCCGCCAGTCCTGAGCATTCTGCATTTTGTTATTTCAAAGCGATTAAAGGTGTAGTGACATCCCCAGTTGAGCGGCGGCGGGGAATGTTTGATCATAGGCCGGACAAGTTCAAATATATCGCACAATTAAGACAAGAAGCACAAAATGGTGAATCAACAAGGAAAGAAATACCACATAGATTTTTTTAAAACAAAGACTCCAGAGAGTTCTGGGACACGCGATAATCTGTGAATGTCTCGACTCCGGGCCCCTTCGCTTAGTCATACATACTGAATTGCACGTGGGCAATACGCGTCCTAGGATTTGTGATTTACTGGCATTGAAGAAGTGATATGATGTACATGGAATAGTTGGAATAGCTTAAGTGGGAATACTAAACAAGTGACCCCTGACTACCTGTTGCCCACCTTAGTCCAACCTTTGGTACCTTTAGGTCGTGGTGAAGCATCTTCATGGCCATGAGTCCTTCCAGGTGTTTTTGAACTTGTAGTTCTGCTGTCTGTGTCGGTTTCTACCCTTGCAGATTGAGAGCCCGGAGATGTGGCCTTGAGAGATTGCGGAAAAGATGGCTGAGGTGAATCCATGACCGCATCGTCCCATTCTTTTTCTTCCAGCAATTCCCATTCCGCACTGGCCATTTCCCCTTGAAGGTTGGACTTCAATTTATCCACAATCTTGGTTGGGGTTGGAAGTTTCCATATTCGCATGAATTCAACACCTTCCGATGCTCCCAGGAAAGAATGTGCTGTGCCATGGGAATAATGACCCAGCATAGGAAAAGAAGTTGTTCGCTGAATTGTTGTTTTGGGTGAGTCTTTGGCAGATTTCATCTGTGTCTGCGTGTCTCGGCCGGCAAAGGCTCGCATCAGAGTTGAAGGGTGAGCTGGCGGAGCAACCAGTAGTTGCCACAAGCTCTTGCCAATATCGCAGACTTCCTCCCAAGAGTCTGATGAGAGGTTTATCCCTTGAGTTCGACATAACCAGGCAACATTCCACGCCAGGAGAGTGGCTCCTTCAAGAAAGAAAGCGTATGTTGCGGGGTCCTCCTTTGCTAACCGGGCCAAAGGCTTATCAATGAAGAGAGGCCGCGGACGTGGTGCGTAGATGCGTGGGTCCACCGTCCTTGATGCAGCTGGACTTGATGAGGACTGATAATCAGCACCATCGTGACCGTCGCGCGAGCGATATGATGCTGAGGGGGTATATATTGTAGGCACAGGATAGTTTTTGTGAGGCAGTGTAATTTCGGCGGGAAGTCTCAAGGAGAGATAGTGTGACACAATGACCAGAAGATGAGCGATGTTAGAAAAAGACGAGGATATATGTTCTTGCGGTATACCTGTACTGGCCCTGTTAGTATGCCACGGGATGAATGACTGTGTGGAAGCGACGACGAAGACTTGCCATTCATATCCCTCAAGTCAACGATAAAACCACTTCCAAGCACATATGTTTCCCGACCTTGCCCCTTCTTTGTAACCTTTCGTAGGCCATAGAGATTGGCGACTTCTCGACAAAGATAAATACGTGACTCCGCTGTCTTGCTATGAAGGGAATGCCAAACGTGCTCGACCCTTTTGCTGGTATTTTGAACGCCCGCCAGGATCCCAGCTTCCCGCTCTTGAAGTTGAAATTCGGCAGATTCAGCATCTGATCGTCTGCGTGCTAGAGCTTCTTTTTGCTTGGCAATCTCGGCTTTCTTGGCTTCGACCTCTGATTTCAGAGTCTCAAGCTGATGTGAAACCAATTCTCTCTTTGCCAAAGATACTGCATGTCGAGTACTTATCGTTTGGAGGACCCAGTGGGGAGAGCAATCTTTGTCCGTATCGAGTAGGGCTTGTTCGTGCGGAGGAGACTGAATCCCAGTGTTATCGCGGGCAACAGCTTCCTCAATTTGCTTCCCAAGGACTTCTTTCTCCAGAAGAACTTGAGCGCTATTGATTCGTAGTTGATATAACTGATTGCGGGCACATGTCGGACAGTAGAAAGAAAGGCGGGAATGAGGGGCACGTGAGCATATGGAACAGCTCATCGCAGACAACTTGATTTTAGTTTCAGCTGTTCTTTGAGAGCGTAAGGCGAATTTCCATGTTGTGTTCGAGGATAATTATGGGTGCTACTTGAGTCGCCGCCGAGAACCATATAGAGGAGTGAAGGGATCATCAAATAGATGCAAATCCCACATGACTCAAGTAATATGCAGACATAAAGGATACGACCGGCTTCAAGCCCAGCTAGTCAAGTTCGTATGCCCTTTAGCCAATCTTCCTTTAGGGAAGAAGAGAAAAAAGACGGGATGATGTGCACATGCACTTGTCGACGTCACCTGACGCTCCGTTATCGCGAATCTTATCTTCTAAATAGGAACATCCGCGAATTAAAACAAAAGACTCCAGATTCTACTGAAACAATCATCGGGTTTGATATGGCTTTGTTTTGATACATCTCTATGTCAACGAGCCAATCAAGTATGCAGTCAACTCCAAACAGGACCAGCAAAATCCCTCGACCGGGGGCATTGTCACCCCGTGTCAGTCAAGAACGCAAAAGCCCTTCAGGTAGTGGAAGCTTCCAAGAGAACAAGAGCCCTCAATCACCAGTCGAAGCTCGTACACCAGCCCCTATCTCTGATGAGTTCCCACTTGTCTCTAGATTAACACAAGGACTTGAGGACTGCGACTGGGAACAACTTCAAGGGAAATATGCCGATGCAATGGAAGAACACAGCCGAGTCGAGGAGAATCTTCGAGTTGAAACAGCCAAGCTTCTTGAAGTAAGTTTTGGAGACAACATATTAATTGCAGTTCTGTGTCTGATGAACTGGTAGGTTTTCATGGCATGGTCTCAGACTACCGTTTCGCAGGATGAGAACAGGGCTTTGAAAAGGTTTGACCAATTCGGCTTTGGCCTAGTATATCAATGGGCGGAAAATTAAATGCTCTACAGGTTCAAGACCCAAATGCAGCACGTTCAAAATTCCGAAATCAATGTGGCAAACAGGAAGAAGCATTGTAAGTCCTCTCTCATCCTTTTGACTTGAAAACAAAGTCTGGTCGCTCATCTGTTCAAAGACGCGGAAGTAGTCAGGGCTTTCCAAAATGCGCTCGCCTTACTAAACGACCAAATGAAGGTTTAGGCATGTGACGGACACGACGTTTATGACAATTATGAGGTTATGTTAGTCTGTCCCTTCTATCTGATAATCGATATTCCAAGACAGTAATTGAATGATCATGCCAAAGGCACCCATTATGTATTTCTCACTTACATGGCAGCTTGAGAAAGAGAATAAAAGAGAATAAAGAATAATAAAAACCTAAGTGTACTACAACTAAAGAAAGAGACCATTGAAATCCTCAAGAGTCATTCAACCGGGATAGCTGGGAACATCACAGCTAAGAGCGTTCAGTCCGGGCAGCTCTCCCGATGATGTCTTGCCAGCTAGCATTGAAGCGTCTGCCGGTATTTGCCAATAAGCCTTCTTCCTCGGCTTCCTCTGCATCTTCATCGAGTTGTGCTTCGTCCAACTGGGGTGAACGGAAAAGGGAAGTAACAAACACAACCAGATACAAGCCTGCGGGGTTGGTGTTAGATCACTGCGAATAAAACTTCGGGTAGGGCCGCAACGAAATTGAGACATACCTATGAAGACGAACTGGGCCCAAAAGAACACGACTCCAAAGAATGGGTAGTTCAGGGTGACCCGGTTCAAGAAGGTGCTTACAACACTAGGTGTGCAGACTTGCTGTGCAGCTGGATTCTTTGCCAGTTCCGAGCATGGCTTGATAAGTTCTTTGCTGTTTGAGCAGTCTAGCTTCCCGATGAAGGTCCCCGGTGCGCGGTCACAAAATGTCTGTGGGCCGAATGTGGCATACTGAGGGGCGACTACCATGGAAATGGAGTAATTCAGCGCTAAAATGATTAGCATCAACATGGCGGTGGCTAAGAGTAGAGCCTGGGGAGATGTGTGGCCATTTCTGATTTGGAAAATCCTAATCCATAGGAAGCGGATTCCGACCACGGCGATTCCAACCACAGAGCTGCAGAAAAACAGCAGTACAAGTGCGGTGAATATGGCGTAGTCAATGGGAAAGAACCTGGCGGATTTGACAAGTGCCCAGTTGACAGGGTTAAAGATGTTAACATGTGCGAGTATGTATCCACAACGATGTTTGCAAATCGAGTTCATGGCTTTGTCAATTGCGGTCAGGAACATGGATACCCACGTGAGGAAAGCAATCAATAACAACAAGATGCCTCCCAGGAGCTTGAAGGGACGGAGCACTGCCCCAATTTTGTACCATGCCTTCATCAGCCAGCTACGGCCGCCGCCTTGGGATTCCTCGGCCAGACGTTGACGCCGAATCAGTGTCCTCTCTTCCCGCACCAGTGTATCGAGTTCTCGGCGGTCCTTGGAGGACAGAAGCTCGGGATCTCCGGCACATCGTCCCTCAAGCTGCCGCTGTCGCTCTTGGTTTGTGTCAAGTTGTTGTGCAGTGCTCGCTTGCAAGGTGGCGCTAGAGATTGATGGTGCAGTCTTGATCAAACTGATTGGTAGAAGGGCCAATCCCACGGATGTGTACAAAACATAAAGGCAGAGCCCAATCGTCATCAACAGGCCAAGAGCAAAAGTGAGGGCACGCTCGCCATCTTTTCAGATTTATGTCAGCTTCACGGTTCTGTCCAACGTCAGGATACTCGGATACTCACGATTTTCAGTCAGTAAGCGCCTGAAGTAATCCAGATCCATGTCATTCTTTCCCTGTGACACTGGGACAAAGAAACCAACTAGGAACAAGATCACAACGACTGCAACGAATGAAAGCGTGTATTTCAAGGCACCCCAAATCCTTTGGCCCACAGTTTGCTCGCCCGACTCGGTCGCAACCTCATCATATTCTTCATACCAGAAATATGTGAAGGGAATAACCAGGAGACAAAGCAGGGCATCCAGAGAATACAGGAAATAATAGATGATGGTCAAGGAATAAGTGATTCTGTCCACCACATCCTGTGTTGCCCAGTCCTTTCGTTGGCCTAACTTGGACGACGTAGTCGATGATACCAAAGCGACATCGACAGGCAGCAAGAGGACTGTTGCAAGAAGACTAGTAATCGAGATAATACAAGTCAAAGTGACCGAAGGAGAGCGATCGCGGGGAGTTTGGTAGACATAGATAAACACCGATGCCACTGCCAGTAGGATAGCTATCACCACCCCATACAGAGCCCAGATAAGGGAAGTCTGAAGGAGGGCCATATTGAAGGATAACAGTTCACACTGTGCAAATTTGTTGTGAAGTCTGCATCAACCCTTCCAGCAAAAGAATGAAGGAATGATGGCAGGAATGAGACTTTCAATATCAAAACCAAGATCTTCTTCCCTTCCGAAGCTCTGGCGATCGCTTGTGTCGTCATTGATTATTCAACGCTAAACCATTTTGAGGCATCTGTGGTAGATGGCGGTAGGATTTGTTGGGCAGAATAAATTGACCGCCCAATTCTGCCAGACCAGTCAGCTGCCGCTTCCATCTCCGCTTTGCTTCCGCTTCAAAGGAGCTACAAACTTAACTGCACAAGGGCAGAGATCAATCTTGATCTTGATCTTGATCTCTTCTCCTGTTTATATTAAAAATTTAGCGGTGCTATCTCTCTTTTGTGTTTTACAAGGCTTCATACTCTCAGTCTTCCGTCCCTGAGTTTAACAATTGCAATGTGCATCTCAGGCCATATCAAAAACACAATTTAGCTCATTGGCGGTTTCCTAGCAGTATCAAGCCTTCCACACGAGCTTTGACGGTAGACTGAGTCTCCAAATGCAGTGCTACACAGAGCTATTACCCCCCACGGGGGTCACTCATGCTTTGGCAATTCCTTTTACCTCAGCAACCGCCAGCAATCTGATTGTTGTCAGAACCTCTCTATTGCAGGTTTTCTCTCTCGTTAAGGTCTCGCCTCAGCCACACAAGGAAGGATCAGAACCTCATTCTTCACAATTCTCTCAACCAGAAACAAAATTAGTACTGGAACAAGAATACCCATTACCCGGAACTGTCACTGATTTAAGCCGAGTCAAAATCTTGAACACTAAGAGCGGCGGAGAAGCTATCTTAATTGCAGTCCGCAATGCTAAGCTCAGCTTGATTGAGTGGGATCCTGAGCGTCATGGAATCTCAACAATTTCCATTCATTACTACGAACGGGATGATCTGACTCGCAGTCCCTGGGTGCCCGACCTGAGTCGATGTGGGAGCATTTTGAGTGTTGACCCAAGCAGTAGATGCGCGGTGTACAACTTTGGAATCCGCAACCTTGCGATTTTGCCCTTCCATCAGGCGGGTGATGACTTAGTTATGGATGACTACGACTCGGAGCTTGATGGAGAACGCCCAAATCAGACCTCTAGTGGAGGAGCACAGACCGAGAAAAGCAATCAAGGACCAGTACACCAAACACCCTACTCCTCATCTTTTGTCCTGCCATTGACTGCTCTGGACCCTTCATTGCTACATCCCATAAGCCTGGCGTTCCTATACGAATACAGGGAGCCGACTTTTGGAATTTTATACTCTCAAGTCGCAACCTCCACTGCCCTTCTCCATGAAAGAAAGGATGTAGTATTCTACGCTGTATTTACACTGGACCTTGAGCAGCGAGCTTCTACCACCCTTCTTTCGGTATCTCGCCTTCCTAGTGATCTGTTCAAAGTCGTGGCACTCCCACTTCCAGTAGGAGGTGCCTTGCTTCTTGGCTCAAATGAAATTGTTCATGTTGACCAAGCTGGTAAAACCAATGCAGTGGGAGTCAATGAGTTTTCAAGGCAGGTTTCTTCGTTCTCAATGACCGACCAATCGGACTTGGCGTTCCGCCTCGAAGGCTGCGTGGTTGAGCGACTTGGTGGCGATAGCGGCGACCTACTCCTAGCACTTGCGTCCGGCGATATGGCACTGATCAAGTTCAAACTTGATGGTCGGTCTGTCTCCGGTATCACTGTTCATGCCCTTCCGGCGCATGCAGGTGGAGATATCTTGA